GGGATATCTTGGCTGTGGAAAAAAATGCACCAACGTGAGGAGCAAGGGGTCCTAGCCCCACACCACCCTCAGCCCAGGGTTCCAATGACAGGAAGACATAGCAGCTTTACCTAATACATAGAAACAAACACAGGGAAACAGCAAAAATTCGGAGACAAAGAAACATGCCACAAAAAAAAAAACAGAAGAGATCTCCAGAAAAAGAACTCAATGGAATGGAAGCAAGCAAATGATCAGGTACAGAGTTCAAAACAATCGTTATAAGAATGCTCAAGGAATGTAGTAACAACATCAAGGAACTTAGTGGCAACTTCAAGAAACTTCAAGAGAACATCAATGAGTTAAAAAAGGGCCAACAAAAATGAAGCATACACTACCTGAAATGAAGAATAATTTCAGGGAATCAATAGTAGAGTAGAGCCCTAGCAGGTTTGGCTCAGTAGATAGAGCATTGGCCTGTGGACTGAAGGGTCCCAGGTTCGATTCCAGTCAACGGCTTGTACCTTGATTGCAGGCACATCCCCAGTAGGGGTTGTGCAGAAGGCAGCTGATCAGATGTTTCTCTCTCATCAATGTTTCTAACTCTCTATTTCTCTCCTTTCCTCTCTGTAAAAAATCAATAAAATATGTATTTTTAAAAATAGTAGAGTAGAGGACACCGAGATTCAAATCGGCAATTTGGCATATGAGGAAGCAAAAACCATCCACTCAGGACAGCAAAAAGAGAATGGGAGGTGAGAAGTGGAACTAGTGAGTATAGATATCTAACCGCAGACGTGTTGCTGCAAAAGGGAGCAGAGAATGATGTGGTAGTAGGAGGGCTATGTAGGCTCAATAGAGTCATTTGTAATGGAGGTTATTAGGGCAGTTTGCACAATGATGGGGTAATTGCAAAGAGGGAGAGATGCAGGATGCAGGAAACAGCCTACCGTGGAGCAGTGAGAGGGATGAGATGGAGACTGCATGTGGAGACAATACCATTGGCAGGAGAAGAGGCCCTTCATCCTGGGGATAGCAGGGCAAGAAGGACGAATGGACCTAGGGGAAGTGTGGGCCCTGACAGGGGAGAATTTATATGAGATTGTTTCTACTCTCTCAGTGTACTATGCGGCCAATACTGAGAGCAGAGATGGGTAGAAGGTGAGTGGCCAGTCACCTGTGCTACGGCTTTGAGGGAGGAGGCAGGGAAGTAAAATAGTAATAGTCATTTTGGAGAGTGGGGACACCAATCCAGAAGGATTGCAGACAGGTGCCTAAGATGCCTGGCAGATTTGAGGGCCCATATGAGATTTGTGGTAATGAATTTAAATGTATTTTTATTCATTTCAGACAGGGGGAGAGGGAGAGAAACATCAATGATGAGTAGAATCACTGATTGGCTGCCTGCTGCATGCCCCCTACTGTGGATCAAGCCTGTAACCCAAGCATGAGCCCTGACAGGGAATTGAACCCTGACCTCCTGGCTCATGAGTTGACGCTCAATCACTGAGCCACACTGGCCAGGTGTGGTTATGAAGTTAAAGTGAGATCTGTCAGCATGCCTGTGGGTTGTTGTTTTTTCCCAGCAATATAACCTGTTTGGGTACAGGTGAGGTATAAGGAAATGTTAAGAGGGCTAAGTCATTTCTTTTCACAGAAGAGAAAGACAAGGTATGAGTCCTTTAATGAAAATGTTTATTTTTTTAACAACATGGTAAGTTCATACTGGTGGTTAATTAGCAATTATGTCAATACTTTCAAACTCATTTGCCTCCAGTTTTAGTCATAATGCAGGAATCTAAGCTTATAAAATTAAGAAACAGCAAGAGCTAATCTAATCCTTCTTGATATTCCTTCATGATCAGCAAGATGCACAAAAAAGTTCTTTAAAGGACTAAAGTAGATGGATATATAAATTGTGAGTTCATTTTTAAAGCTGTATAAAAGTAACATTTCTAAGAAAGCATTTAAACCAAAGATCACACTTAATCAAAACAATATTCTTAATCCAGGCCGTCTCCATTTTCAGCTATTTGGCATTCTGTTCTTTTGTAAATTTGATGTTGCCCAACAAAGAATGGGTATCTTTTACTGTTTTGGGAGGCGAATGAACAGATGAACACATCAAATGCCTACACAGCTGAGATTTTGCCTGAGGTCAATGTGTTTTAAGATAGTCTTTTGTTACATATATATCAAACATTGAGGAATACTGGTGTCATTCAAGATGAAGTCTTTGATGAAGAACTGAATGTACTGGAGACGTATTTGGTAATCAAGATTTAGGTAAATTTTCACCAGCAGTAGCTCTATCAGCACACTGAAACATGTTGTAGACTTAATACCCAATAATTAACACATTAGACAACATTGGCCTCTTAGAAGAAAGACCGTATTTTGCTCCTGCTTCTGTAAAAACATTATTTATTTGAAAAAGGTGTGAACTTTTACTCAACTGCTACTCCCTGAATAGGAAAACGAGAGAAAAGGAGCTGAAGAAGGAAAGCTGTCCAGTTACACTCCACAGCCCCGGGTATACTGAGTGACATCTTTGTTTTGACAGTGATTTCTCCAGGCCACCCTGTAGGGAAAGGTGAAACACATGGTGATAAGGTTAAAGCGTATCTTCACTGTGATAGACATACAGCAAATCCTTTGTGAGGACAAACTATTTTAACACTATATGAAATACAGGCTTTTGATAGATCCAGGTATTGCTATTTATTAAATGGAGATATGTACACCCAACTTCACTTCTCCCCAAAGCCCTGGCTACAGCATAATATGCTGACCACGAGAGTCATGTGCATTTCCTAACAGCCACTGAAAAGTGCATTCTACATTTAGCTCATTCCAAACATTTCAAAATAGGACAAGGAACTGGTAGAGTGTGGAGAATCTTAAAAATTCTAGAAATCCTCCCAAATTAATGGAGGAATAAGAGGAAAAGATTCTGAATCCGTTAAAATGTTAAAATAGATTGCTTCTAAGTGATACTTTTTTTTAGCATACACCTAAAGCTGCAACTTTCAGTTCTCAGTAGCATATGGTGGTCCTTGAAAATCTTCTCTCACCTCTCTCCTAACACAGGGCAAAAAAGCTTTCCCCTCTAAGCTTACACATACCATGCTTTGATGCCTTGTGGATCCTTGACAACCCTCTTGGCACAGGTTGCAGCTTTAGTGATGTCATCTTGAAGCAAATCTGAAAAACAGGTGGTGAGGAATGAAGACAACTTTCACAGAATTTTCATTTTAAGTTTAGGTTTAGCCCATTTTATTGTCTTAAGCTAAGGAATGGACACGACAATTCTTTTCCACAAGTTATATATCTGTGAATGTTGGGAGGAATCTCAGATACCAAAGTCATTGGAAGTTCTGGAATTATCAACTACTGTGATAGATAGATAGTTCTCTTTGTAATAGGCACTATTAGAAGAAAAAGAGGAACCAACCTAGTAATTTTTAATCAGCAATTCTACGACTAGAAATTTCCCCTAAAGAAATAAGAGCCTTGGCCAGTTTTTCTCAGTGGTTAGAGCACTGGCCCACAGATCTGAAGGGTCGAGGGTTGGATTCACAGTCAAGGGCGTGTACCTCGATTGCAGGCTCGATTCATGGATCCAGTCTGGGCACATGTGGGAGGAAACCAATCAATATGTCTCTCTCTCATTGATGTTTCTCTCTCTCTCTCTCTCCCCTCCCCTCTATCAAAAAAAATGGAAAAAAGATCCATTTTTCTCAAAAATAAAATAAAATAAAATAATAAAAATAAAATAAAAAAATTAATAAAATCAAGATTGGTATTTGTTAACATATAAATAATTTTGTGTGATAAAGAACAAATTGTAAAGCAGTATATATAGTACAATTTCATTTTTGTTAAAACACACATTGTGCCTGGCCGGTGGGCTCAGTGGTTGAGCATCAACCCATGAACCAGGAGATCACGGTTGGATTCTTGGCCAGGGTAGATACCCAGATTGTGGGCTTAATCCCCAGTAGGGGGCGTGCAAGAGGCAGCCAATCCATGTTTCTCACATTGATGTTTCTCCCTCTCCCTTTCGCTCTCTCCAAAATCAGTAATAATAATAAAAAATAACCATAAAGAACACCACACATTATTACATGTTTATATGTAGGTATATTTATACATGACATAGCTTTATGTTCACAGACATGATTGATATGTATTCTATCTAGAACAATATAAACCAAAAGTTACTAGTAGTCATAAATCTCTTGGTAGTAAGAATTTTTATTCAGTGACCACAGATTATTATAGAATACAAAATATTTTTTAAATAAATTAACTGGATACAAATGAATATTCTAAGAATAATCTTTTCTATTAGAATTTTCACATTTAGAAATTTAACGATATCAATTTTATAGTACTTCTCCAATATTTTCATTTTTATGATTTTATTTTATTTTTTACAGTCAGAGTCACCTCTTTTTTTTTAAATCCTCACCTGAAGATATGTATTTTTTTTTTTATTTTAAAGTAAGAAGGAGAGCGAGAGGGAGAGGGAGAGAAAGAGAGAGAGATAGAGAGACATTAATTGCTTGCCTCCCATACGCACCCCAACGAGGGATTGAACCCACAACCTAGGTATGTGCCCTGACAAGGACTCGAACCTGAAACCTTTTGTTGTACGGGATGATGCTCCAACCAACTGAGCCAACCAGCCAGGGCGAGATGGCGATCTTTTAGGTCCCTGTTGAATTTTTCAAAACCTTTTTATTTCTTTTTCCCCACCCACTCCCCGCCCACGCCCCCTTTCGTTTGTATTGAATCTCTATTCTTATAAACATAAGCAGATGGGTCCTGTGCCATCACATAAACGTTATTTTCTCTTACCGTTGCAGGGTATACCACAGGCATTAACTGCTCCTGGGGTTTTGCCATCATTACACCAGTAGCGGCTATTGATCTGGAATATCCCATAATCCGTGCTTTTGTCTCCAGGATTGTTGTTTGTAGCTCGGGTGTTGTAACTACTTTCCCATTTGGCCAAACACATCCCTGAAAATAACATATTTTTAGTAATAAATAGCAATACCATATGACACATACTGCATACCATAATCAGTTCTATATAGCTAATTTTATTTTCTAATGACTTACTTTATAAGTATAAAGATGTAGAAGAGGAAAGACTATTTCATAGTCCATCCATCCATATACCCATCAAACCATTCATTCATTCATTCAAAAATAGTTATTAAGAGGAAGTGTTCGATTCAACCTAAACATACATTGATAACATTGACAAAAATGGGCTAAAATACAAAGTAACTTTTACACAGGCACATCTTGGATTGCATAGAAGAAAATGAAAACAGTTAATCAACTAGAGTGAGAAAGAATAATAAGATAGCATTTCATGCTGCATTTCAGAGATCCTGACATAAACAGTGATTGAGAGGAAATAGGTTCCTACTGCCCCTGTATTGAGATTTCAACATAATTAAAAAAACAACAATAAAAAAACTTTGCTATGAAAAGCCTCGTGTCATGCAGGGGAATTAAAAAAGAGAAAAACACTGCATTATTCTAGGCTCACAGAGCCCAGGTTCCACACGGAAAAGCTGGAGTCAAGCACGTGCTCAAATGTATCAGTCAGGCTACATGTGCCACTGAGTCTGAGGCAAGTGGCAAGCTTGGTAGCACTCGCAGAGTACAACGGGTGGTGGTTTACTTAGAATGGTGCACAATTTTGCACTCCCGTGCCTTCATTCCTTCACCTGGCATTTCTGTTTATAAAGAAAGTAGTTGATATATTTTTTTAACCATTTTAAGTATAAAAATCCTCAAATAACTTTTTTTTTAAAGAAGTGCATTCACGCAAAGCCCCTTTCTCATTATTCATCCTCTATTAGTCTGTTGCACACCTGGCTGGCTATTTGGAAGTAGGGAGAGGTAACTTACAGTTTGCCAGGCTCACTCCCCTGTAGCCATCCATTCCAAGTCTTTTCAAGGTTCTGGCCAGGTCACACCTCTCATAGACCTTGGCCCGGACGGCGACAGAGAGGAGGAGAAGCCCCAGAGTCAGGAGAGCCTTCATGTTGACTGCGAAGCCAGACTGCTCAGCTGGCCAGGGGAGGCTGGCCCCAGTATTTAACCTCTTTTAACTTCCTTCTTCTCCTAGTGGTTTGGAGGCTCCACCCTTTGAGCTATGTGGAAAACGGGAACAATTTTTTGGTTCTCTGACTTCAAAAGGTTACAAGAATTAATCCACATGAAATTGATGAATGACATTGTTTAAAGACCTGGCTCAGGAATGATTGGTATTAGCACTGTTTTCAAAACGGGAACTTTCTCCTATTTTTTAAAATTAAATCTTTATTGTTCAGATTATTACAGGTTTTCCTCTTTTTTCCCCCCATAGCTCTCCTCTACCCAGTTCCCACCCCACCCTCTGCCCTTACCCCTCCCACTGTCCTCATCCATAGGTGTACGATTTTTGTCCAGTCTCTTCTTGCACCCCCACACCCCTTTCCCCCCAAGAATTGTCACTCCACTCCCTTTCCATGCCACTGGTTCTATTATATTCACCAGTTTACTCTGTTCATTAGAGTTTTTATTCACTTGATTTTTAGATTCACTTGTTGATAGATATGTATTTGCTGTTTATTGTTGATGTTGTTTGTGAACGGAGACACTGAGGCAAGCTTGGCGCATAGGATGAAGTAGAGCAGAGGGCTACCACTCGCTCAGGCATGTAGCAAAAACCCTCTGATCCCTTCTGGCTTTTACTGGGGGTGAGCACAGCAAACAACAATGGAGTACAGCAAGTGACAATGATGAACAGGCATGCTTATGAGACCATCTGAGCTAAGTTATACATTACACTATTAATTTCCTATGTTATACAAAGACTCTTTCCACCTGCAGCAGTGCACCCTCCCTTAAACTTTCCATGCTCTCATGGACTATTTATCACCTCAAGGAAAGTTCTGCCCCTGAAGAATAAGTCTTGCATGCAAGACTTATTGTTCTGTCTCTGAACAGTAAGTCTTGCGCAGAAGACTTATTGTTCTGTCTCTGAACAGTAAGTCTTGAGTGCAAGACTTATTGTTCTGCCTCTGAACAGTAAGTCTTGAGTGCAAGACTTATTGTTCTGCCTCTGAACAGTAAGTCTTGCGTGCAAGACTTTGTTCTGACATGGCCTGCTTGCAGGCTCCCGCCTTTTCCTGGCAGAACATCCTCTTCTAGTTTCGCCACTCTCCTGGCTTCTTCCTACCAACAGGGTTTAAATTGCCGATATTGCCCTGGGGCTAATACTGCCGTAGCTATAGCATTCCAATTATAAGGAATTAATTTATAATCTGCATAAATTAATTCTGTATTAATATATAAAATTAATAACATATATAATTATATATAATAATATTATAATTAATAATATATATAACCCTTGAAGGTATTGAGCATTAGCAGGTCTTTGTGTCCTCAGGTGGGTGGTGGAGACTCAGCTGCTAACGCCTGATTAATGACTAGTGCCGCTTTACTTTCACTTTTCGGTGGCGGTGCAGCCAACTCCTGAGGACTTTTATTTTCTTTCTTTTTCTTACTACTGTAAGCAATAATTCTTTTTTTAAAAATTTTTTTATTGCTTAAAGTATTACAAAGGGTATTACATAAGTGTCCTTTTTTTCCCCACCCTTGACAATCCCCTGGCCTCCCCTACCCCCCAGTGTCTTATGTCCATTGGATATGCTTATATGCATGCATACAAGTCCTTTGGTTAATCTCTTACCCCCCTCCCTCCTGCCCCCAACCCTCCTCGGCCTTCCCGCTGCAGTTTGACAATCTGTTTGAGGCAGTTCTGCCTCTGTATCTATTATTGTTCAAAAGTTTATAATGGTCTCTATTATCCATGAATGTGTGAGATCATGTGGTATTTTTCCTTCATTGACTGGCTTATTTCACTTAGCATAATGCTCTCCAGTTCTATCCATGCCGTTGCAAATTGTAAGAGTTCCTTCTTTTTTTACAGCAGCATAGTATTCCATCATGTAGATGTACCACGGTTTTCTAATCCATTCATCTACTGATGGGCACTTAGGCTGTTTCCAGATCTTAGCTATGGTGAATTGTGCTGCTATGAACATATGGGTGCACATATCCTTTCTGATTGGTGTTTCTGGTTTCTTGGGATATATTCCTAGAAGTGGGATCACAGGGTCAAATGGGAGTTCCATTTCCAGTTTTTTGAGGAAACTCCATACTGTCTTCCATAGTGGCTGCACCGGTCTGCATTCCCACCAGCAGTGCACGAGTGTTCCTTTTTCTCCACATCCTCTCCAGCACTTGTCATTTGTTGATTTGCTGATGAATTAAAAAAAATAAAAATAAAAATGTGCAGTAATGCAGGTGCTTCAGATCTTCTACTCTTCTTTTTGGCACGCCCGGAATTCAGGAGAATGTTGAACTTCCCTCTGATACACTGTTCCTCTGTGTTGTAAGCCACAGTCCTGATTTTAAGTCAGGCCGTATTGGTTCCCCTTACTGCCTTATCTGTATTTACAGAAGAGTCAGTTTGTGGCTCTGCCTCTGGGTGACAGTGTGTCTGGATTGACCTCCAAAGCTATAAGTCCTCTCTGACCAGGAGTTCTCTATTGTACCTGAACCAGCTCTGCCCAGAGCTGGCTCCCCAGACGCCACTCCCAGCTCTGTTTCCCAGGCTCCCCAAAAACAATCTTCCCCTATAGACTCCCCTAGCGAACCCAACTGGTCAATCCCATGCACTGGGTTCAACAATCAAACTCACAGATTTAAGAGGAAGTGTGTAAACAAGAGCCTGGGAAGCTGTGCGAACTCGCAGGGCTCCACCTTCCAGATCTGCGGGAGTGTCTGTGCGCGTTCTGGCCCCTGGCACCAAGTAGCCGGTCGGCTGGTAGAATCTGAGGTTGCCCCTTTGCATCCAGTCCAACTATGGGCTTATTTATAGTGTTACCTTCTATGAGTAGCCCTGCAGAAGCCCTCCCCACTTGCGGGTCACGCTGGCCTCAATGGGCGCGGACTTTGTGGGGCGCAGATTCCCCCCCCCTCCTCCCGCCCCGTGCAGGTGCGCACGTTCCTCGCTCCAACCTGAATTGCAAACCGCACCTTTTTGGGAAGTCTAACCTTTCTGTGGGAGGAAGCAGGTCTCCTCTGAGTTCATGTAGTTGCGCTGCTTGAGAGCCGTTGCCTCTGGGTTAGTAGCTGATCTCTGGATGCGGATAACAGCTGCTCAAGATGGCTCGGTCTCGTGGCTGAGCTGGCGCCCAGGGGGAGGTTTCAGCCTCAATCTCTAGCCATCCCCATTTTCTAGGAGTTTTCTGTCTTTCCTGGCTGCAGACTGTTTCTCAGCTGAATCTCCTCTGCTTGTTCGGGCTGTATGTTACCCGTTTCAGCTGCTCGGCCTTATGTGCTCCGGGACAAAGCACCAACACATCCGTCTAAACCTCTGCCATTTTTTCCCCATCTGTTTCATCTTGCTTCTTGCATATGTTGTTGATTTTTTAATCCATCCGGTTTATGCACGCTAGGACCCTTATTCTGAGTTTTTTTCTGTCATGTTGCATGCCTCTGTCTCACTTAGCTGCTTTTCTGGCGAGTCTTCCTTTTCTTTCCTTTGGGGGTTTCTATGCCTACCCATGTTTTATCTCACTGACATATCTAGATGTTGAGTCGTTCAGTGGCTGCTCCCTGGGTGGCAGTGGCTCCTTGGGCTGTGGTTGCTCCTTGGGTGGTTTCAGTAGCAGCTGCTCCTCAGTTGGCAGCAGCTCCTCTGGTGGGTGCTGTTCACAGCTGTGGTGGCTCTTCTGGCTGGTGGGGGGAGGCTTCACGTACAGCTGCTGTTCCTCAGACAGAGGGTGTGGTGATCAGGAGGCTGCTGTATCTTGGATCTGCTGCATTGATTTAAAGACACAAAATACAACACAACAAGGCACAACATACCAAGCACTGAACACAAATATATTTACGATATTAATAACCCCAAATAAAGGTGACCACCCAATTAAGAGAATTAGGGGATAAGGAGGAAAGAAGAGAAAAAGATAAAAGAGAAAAAGGAAAAGAAAAATAAGAAAAAAAACAAAAAAGAAGTGCAAAAATGAAATTGGGTAAAAAAGAGGGGGAAAAAAAGAGCGAAAAGAGAGAATGAAGTAGAAGAGGGGAAGAGACTATTTGTATGAGGAGAAAACTCCGATAGAACTGCCACTAATCCCAACAAATTCCAGCAACAGATCCCTGGAGATGAATGCAAACTACAAACAACCAATGATATCAAGAAAGGCAAGGGAAAACAGAAGCACAAAAATAGCCAGGGGGTGGGGGAGGGGAGGGAGGGGAAAAACCAGCAGAAAAAAAGAAAAAGAAAAAGCAAAACAACCTCACAACCAGTACTAAAAAAGAAAAAAAAAAACACAAAACAAAACAAGCAAAAAAAACACACAGACAAAGAAACAAAAAAACCCAATATATTCAACAATCAAGCAAACAGCAAGAAAACAATAGAAAGATAAGAGAGAAAAAATGTTTGGATAGTGAAGAAGGATAAGGGATAGGTGTATAAGGATTTAGAGCAGTGGATTGGAAATAGGATATATAAGTAGGGTGAAATTAAACAGGGGGTAAAAAGACGGAATAAGGAAAATCTAAAGCAGGAATAGGGTAAGAGAAACAGGACACCAAATGGGGAAAAGTGAGGAAGAGGGTTTTAGCATAGAGGTAAAATTGAGGTAGGGAAAATTGATGCTAAAGGAACAATGAAAATAGAATGGAGAACACTAATCCCAAAATAAAAAAAAGAGAAAATAAAATGGCGCTTTAAAAAATGGTAAAATGGTAGCAGTAATAATATTGGTTAAAAATAAAAATGTAGTAATTAAAAGGGTAAAATCAGGTGATGGAAAAAAAAGAAAAAGAAAAAAAATTGGTTTCTTAGTTAAAAGGCAAAAAAAGAAAAAAAAATTGCAGTAGTGAAGGTCTTTCGGTTCTTCTACTCTTCAGCCTGGCTCGCCTTAGTCCTGCCAGGTATTCAGGAGAGTGTTGAATTTCCCTGCGATACACTGTTCCTCCGTGTTGTAAATCACAGTCCTGATTTTAAAGCAGGCCGTATTT